TGTCCTAAGAAGGGCCATGGCTGTATGAATATTAGCTGGGTTTAAATGTCTGCTGAAAAGTGACCACCTCTTGGCCAGTCATGGACATTGTGCCATGTTCCTCCTTTGCAGCAGGAGGCCCAGCCTGAAATCCTGAGCAGTTTCCTCTTCCTGTATCTTCAATCTCCCTGTTAAGACTTTAATGAGTGATCCTAGTCTTGTTTTTCCCATCTGTGCAAGATATGATATATCCTACAACACGGTTTCATTCTGGTTGCCTCCAGCAGTCAATATCATTTCTATTAAAGTTGAAATATTAAGAGTAAGTATCCAAAGAAGGTTTCTACAGAGACTTGGATGTCTCTTAAGAAGCAAAAAAAAAAAAAAATGACAGTGTATTGCTTTAGCTCAGATGGAAGATCTAATGATGGCACCTTCGGCAGTGATGTAATGCAAATGAACATAAATACAAACTGTTGTGGTTTTTTTTTTTTTTTTTTTTTTTGGATTTTCGAGACAGGGTTTCTCCATAGCTTTTGGTTCCTGTCCTGGAATTAGCTCTTGTAGACCAGGCTGGCCTCGAACTCACAGAGATCTGCCTGCCTCTGCCTCCCGAGTGCTGGGATTAAAGGCATGCGCCACCACCGCCCAGCCTATTGTGTTTTTTTAAGATACTAATATTCTGCAGGGATACAATACTCTTAAAAAGTCGTCTCTGGCTTGTTTTCAAATGACAAATATCAGAAATGTCAGGGAATCTTCCAGTATCTTGCATTAATAGAAACACTACTGTCAGTACTATCTCCTAGCACACCTCCTGTGTGAGCCATGTTATGGTCAGAATAGTACCCTCTATCTTTCCTGGTGTTTTTCAAAAAGTTCATAGGCTGAGAAATAGCAAACTTGGCTTACCCAATACCAGGTAAACATGTACTCACTGTGTATTTGGGTTGTATCTCCACAACCAGCTCTCGGAATAAACACAAAGGAATACAGTCAAATGCTCAGATAATTTCTATGTCTGGATTCAAGTTATGGTTACAAATTCTTGGGACACTGACCGTGATCAAATGTCCAGGCAAGGCTTCCTGACTGCAGGGCATTTTCAGAGAGTTGATCAGAATGACAAGAGAACACAGCATACCAGCAGCTGGAGAATTACTTCCAAAGTACAAGGTTTAGGGATCTTCCCACAGCCTATTTGGATAGAGCCAAAGGCTAAAGGGTCAAAGGGAGAAGAACATGAGCTGAAATGCCAGGGACAGTCAGGAGCCAGATTATTCCAAGGCCCAAGAGGCCAAGTTAAGAATTTGAAACCCTGTGCGGAAATCATAGAAACTATTATTCATCTCAGCACATGCTGAGATTAGTGAGCCACTGTGTTTGAACAACATAGTGGTAGCAGCAGGAATAGGACCTTCAGCAGTCCCACACGACTGCATCACTGGCTAGCTGTAGGCTCAGTGGAGCACTTAGATCATGTGCAGAGCCCAAGATTCTGCTATGAAAATTCTTGAATGAACTACTCTCTGCACCCAACCAAGACTGCTTACCCTGAGTTTTATAAGATTTCCCATCTGAAAGAGGCATATGCCAAGATGGAAAACCTTGCTTAAATGGGAGGCGGTGGCGGGGAGGAGGCAGAAATCTTAAATAAATAAATAAATAAATAAATAAATAGAAAACCTCGCTTAAGCCCCTCACACTCAGGCCACCTGTTAGAACATTACAGCCCACAGAAAGATCACTACACACGTAGTCATCGAAAAGCTCATCCTAAAATTTCTGCTTATGGGAAGTTTCAAGCATTCGAGAGAGAAGTGAAATTGACTCCAGCTATGTTTATCCAGCTTCAACCACTTGGTGTAGCCCCTGGTTTGTTCTACCCCCACTTGCTAGCACATCCCATCTGGGGGCCTGAAATAGATTTTCTAACCCATACTACTTCATTCAGAAACGCTTCAGAGTTTTTCCCTAAATGAAAAGGACTCTTCTTTTTATTGACTTCAAAGTAAGAATATATCACACCTAAATACTGAGTAAGTACACATTTGCAACCACTGAGGTATCTGGGCAGCATTTAAGTTTCTCCAGTTTGCTCATAAATTTTTAAACTCTTTGAAACAGAAACCAGATCTAGACATTGCAGTCAGTGGATACATATCATCCCCTGTTAATTTGTCAGTTCTCTGTATATTCTTTCGTTGTCCCAGCAGCTTAGCTGACCTACATAGTTCCCAGGATGCTGAATATAGACCCTGCTGTCCTTGAGGAGGCTCTTAGCCCCCTGTGGTCCTCTGCTTGATCGTGTGATTAGAGATGTATCAAATGCAGGTTCAGTTTGGAGGAAAAAATACTTTGTCACTCGCATTGTTGACCAGCATTGAATTTACAGCTATCAGTTCAAAGCAGGAAGTACACCTGTGGAGTTCTACCCATTGGATGAGTAGGTTCACGTCCTGAGCCCTTGAAGAAGCCTTTGCAAAGCCAGCACACTTCTATTTTGGTGGTTGCCATTACTTTGAACTTCATGAAGGCACAAAATTAACAAAGCAGTTGCTGCTCTTCCTCCACCCAAAGGAACCGGGGAGGTTGAAGAAAGACAAGTCGCAGAAGGCAGACAAGGGCTCTGCAAGAGAGAAAGGTGCTCAGAACACAAAGCATTGTGAAACAGCCCTGCCAAGAGGCCAGCCACATTCAGCACCGTTCCCTCTGCTGTGATATCAAGAGAGAAGGCCACAACGGTCTTCACAAGCTCTGAATGAGTGAAGATGTAAGCACTCACCTTCACTGGAAAGTATCTGATCCACGTGGAGAACGATGAAATGGAAAGTCCTCATAGAGTATGATTTTAGTAATAAGTTTCTTTCCAGTATTCACACACTTCTGGAAGCACAAAGTTTACGTTCAAACAAACAAACAAAAAAGAAAGTAAGAAAAACCTATAAGTAAGATGTAGTCGTTTGAAAGAAAATGACCCCAAAGGGGGTGGCTCTATTAGGAAGTATGACCTGTTGGAGTAAGTATGGCCTCATTGGAGGAAGTGTGTCACTGTGCAGGTGGGCTTTGAGGTCTCCTATGTTCAAGCTACTCCCAGTCAGACAGACCACTTCCTGTTACCTTCTCCAGCACCATGTCTGTCTGCACGTTACCATGTCCCACCGTGATGATAAGGGATTGAACCTCTGAACTGTAAGAGAGCCTCCCCAAATAAACATTTTCCTTTATAAGAATTGGTGTGGTCATGGTGTCCCTTCACAGCAACAGAAACCCTAAGATATAAGACTATACCCTCCCTTCCTCCCTTCTATCCCAACCTGTAGTCTTACTGAAATCCAAAGATACTGGCTATGGGATTTGACAGGAGGAAGTTGGGGGGCGGGGGTTGGAGCCTCCTGTTCTGACCACTGGATTCGTGTTGGCACAGGTCTTTCCTACTATGTTGGCAGCCAGCCATACTCCAACACTCCTCAGAACTTGAAAAATACTGAGATCCAGCTCAAGTATTATTCCCATTAAAAAGGATCTTCTATTTTTACACCATCATTGTTCCTTCCTTCCTCGTTCCTTATGGCATACTTGGAGAGAAGCAGAGTGCAGGCCTTGGCAGGCATGACCAGAGGCTAAACATGGCTGGGCGCTGTTTGGTGTTGTGAGTCACCATTGGCCCACTCTTGTCTGGGCTTTTATATGGCTGTTTTTAACTGAAGTACTTGAATTTCTCACTATAAGTGGCATCAACTCAGACTCTGAAAAACCACTTGCACCAACACACACACAGTTTAGCTTCTGCTAGGGTCCTGGATTCCTAGCCAGAAGCTTTAAGCCACCTACCTTCTTCTTAAGCTGGTCACTTGCTTTCCCCAGATGAAAGATGAATTATCCTTTGGTTTTTACAAGGTTGGGAAGATCAAAGCAGTGTTATGTTTAAACACTTTTGTAGACTGGGCTTCACAAGAATCCTAGCATGTTACATACTCCTGAAACTGGTGTGATGAACGTACCAGCCACAGTTCATCCCTGACCACTTATGGAAGGAGAAATTACCCACCCGCCAGCTCCCCAAATACAAAGAGCTCCTAAGTAAGCAAGAGAGCCGTTGAGGAAGTGGTGGGTGGGAGATTGGGCCTCTTACTACTTCACTAGAGACGCTCTCATTAGTAACAGCCAAGGCTGTCCTCAGTAAGAACTATGCCTGGAGATGATCAGGACAGAAGACTCTGTGGACTGGGCCTTCTTAGCAGTGTTCATTCCCTCAGCATCAAAGACTGATATATGGAAAGTTCTATCTGCTTTTTCAGCTAGCCGTATGAGGAAGGCTTCCTTCCACTATTTCACCCTTTTGTACACAAGAGTAAGGCCCCCTCTTCCCCAGTATGTACTTACCATCTGGGATCTAAAAACATAGGTCCTACATCCCCAGATTATGTTTGCCTGGATCTTAATGTTACAGCTACTTGGGACTCCAGAGCCAGTGACTTCGCCTACAAGCTCTACTCTCCTCTCCCATAAGGTAGAAATAATAATACCAGTCTCATGGGTGAAATATAATGAGAGCCTGGCATACAGTAGGTGACCAATAAAGAAGACAGTCACTGCTACTTTCTTTCCCACCGTGATGGCTTGAATTAACTAGCCAACTAGCTTTTAGAATGAACTAGAAATAAACTCACTAGGAAGTGAGTAAGCCTTGTTCTAAGACAGAACAGCTTCGCCATGGTGATTTCAAAGTGACTAACTGACATTTAACCCTAGTGAAGCTTCGTTCCAAGTCTCTAAAAGTATAATGTTTGCAGGCAGTCACTAGATCTTTAAAATATCTCGGTACCACTCAGATACATCATTGAGACTGCAAGTGCCTCTCTAACGAAGGCAGCTTATGAGGGCAAATCCAGAGTTCCAGAGAAAGCCGAAGGAATGCTTTCTTCTCCACTGACACCAGGCAAGGCCTTTATAAAGTCTTGTGAAATGGATATGTGAGGAGACAATGCCTAGAAACTACACCCGAGGTTGTACTTCATTATATTTATTTTGGAAAAATATTTTTAAGATGAATTTCTTCATTAACAAAACAGTAAAAAACTCAAATAACATTTGCACAATATTCCATAAATACATTTATATACAAAAAATATAGTCACATAGACCCGAAGTGCCTTTGTACATATTTACCAAAATTTAAATTATAAAAAAATGAACATCACAAAATACTCAAGCTTTACAGATATCATGAAAAATATTTTTACAAATCCAAAAAAATAACACACATTTTTTTTCCGTCTAGAAAAAAAAAACACATTTCAGTATCAAAAAGGACAGTAAAGGCAGTTGTGTTTCTAGTTCAAGGAAAGACTGGCTCATAGTAATCCAAGACAGACATGTCGGCAGTGCGTGCTTCCTATACGTATCAAGTCACTCGTCCACTTAAATATATAATCTTCAAAGCAACTGTCCATAGTGCAATGGGAACGTCCAGCAGGCAGTGCAGCGGCAGCCGAAGCTCGGGCTGGCAGTGTCCGGCACCTCTGCTAACTCCGAGAGAACCAGCTCCGCTTGAGCCTGCTTCTCAGCAGCAGTCCCTGGGGCCTCCCTTCCTTTCAGCAGCATCCGTTGGGGCTATATCCTTGGAATTTTATTTAAGAGAAATGGGAATTTTGCCACATCGCTTCCATCTTACACCTAGAAAGGCCCAGGGGACAGGACAGGAAGTTAACTCCAGAAAGAAACAGACCTTCTCCCTATTACCCACGTCTGTGACAAGAGCGTTACACACTGACCTCAGTTGCTATGACACACTCATCCTTCTCGGCCGATAGAACATACACCGACTGGTACTTGGTGTCCTTTGAAGTAGAGTAGACAGACTCAGGCCTTTTTCTGTCAGGGACCTCTCCTCTGGAAGAAAAAGTAGAAAGAACCATAATAAACACACAGGAATGTGATTGAACAAGGACATATCCAGACTATGGAAAGACCTTCCTGCCCTCCTTGCCCAGCTCAAAGCACACACCCCCGGAGTGTTGAGGTGCCCTTGTCTTCTCCCGCAGAGCCCTGTGACTGGCACTTGGTGTCACGTTTGCTGTGTGCATCCCTGATGGTGGCTTCATCTCCCTTGAGGTCTCGAACGAGGTTATAGTCCACAGCAGGGTATCGGGCCTTAAAGCTGCTCTTGTCAGCACCATGGTCCCCATGAAAGTCCGCCTTCTTGTTGGTGTTCTTGATCTGTGTAGCCCCAATGATGCTAACAGAAACATCCTTCTCACGCTGGCAATTGGCCAGGTTGTTCATGGTCTCTGTCTCTCCTCCACAAGGATCAGGTGGGGGCTGGTGCTTCTGTAGCTTCAGCCGGACGCACACCACCACGGCAGCACAGCCCAGCAGCAGCATGAGGACAAGCACCACCCCGGCACACACGGCCACCCAGGGGAAGGGCCCCCCCTGGCTCTCCATATGCCTCTCGCTAAGGTCCACCACCATGGGGCCCTGTGGTGGCTCAGGGAGCAGGAACTGGCAGTTGGGGCCACCGTAGCCCTGGGCACACTCACACATGTAGCGTTGACCCCTCTGGTGGCAGGTGGCCCCATTGTGGCAGGGTGCATGCTCACACCTGCTGACGGGGGCACTGCAGTTCCTGCCTGTGTAACCAGGTGGGCAGGTACAGGAGAAATCATTTACACTGTCCCGGCAGGTGCCCCCATTGGCACATGGGGAGGAGGCACAGTCATCTATGTTGTCTTCGCAGTATCTCCCAGAGAAGCCAGCCTGGCACCGGCACAGGTAGGTATTGCCGAGGTCCACACACTTGGCACCTGGAACACAGGGGAGGCACAGTCATATGTGGGCACACAGAAGTTTAATCACCTATCAGACACGCTGATTTACACATACCACAAATGCAATGATAGTTTGGTTTTGTACTGCATATCTTAGGATCTCAAATACACCAGAACGAGACCTACACATTAGAAATAATAAGAGCTTTTGTTTTTGTTGCCTGAATTAGGCAAACTCCCTACATCACCAGTACCTTGCTCCCCACATTTCTGCCTCGAACAGGGTCTTGCTAGATTTTGCAGGATGGCCTTGAACTTGACCATCTTGCTGCAGTCTCTGGAGTTAGTAGGACTACAGGTCTGTGCCACCATGTCCAGTCTGTAGATCAGTAGTTTGACAGCACTGTGTATGGCATTTTGCCTGATCGCTACCTTCCTCTCACGACCACCAGACAAGGGATACTACACTACCAGATCCAGGTTACAGGGGAGAAATTAGGGGTTATAGGGACATCACATTGCTGAGAGCGCAGTGAGTGAGAAAGGACCGAAACCAGGAGAGAAGGCAGACAAGAATGAAGACAGTGAGAAAGCGGGCAAGGAAAGGGAGAGGGAGGAAGACTGGAAGGAAAGAAAAAAAGGAGGAAGAAAAAAGGAATGGAAAGGCAACTATTGGGTCCATCTCCCCTCTGAGTCTATTTTAGGTACCTGACCTCTCTTCCACCAGCAAGAGGTTCATGGTGCAAAAAGCATGCCTCCTCATACTTGGTACCCTAACTGCTATCTGGAGCGAGACTCCCTTCCCATAGACACAATGGCTGTGCTTCCTCTATCAGAGGAGAGCCTGCAGAGCTGTGGATGGTGACAGGCACCTGAACATTGACCCTGACTGGGTTGTGGCCTGCTGACCAGGGCACTTCTTGCACCACGAATGTGTCACTAATCCTCCTGATTGCATGTCTTCCTCCCAAATCCTCATGGAACCGATTCAGGGAATCTACAAACCCAAGATGACTCCCAGAGCAATGTGTTCCTCTAATAAGAAAGCATATGCCTTTGGAGGCAGTAACCAGACATCCCATCGACCCTCACCATTAGAACAGGGGGAGGAGCTGCAGAGATCCATCTTCTTCTCACAGTTGAAGCCAGAGAAGCCCGAAGGGCAATGGCAGCTGTAGCCTCCGTCAGGGTTGTCTGAACACCGTCCCCCGTTGAAGCAGGGGCCATCTGCACAAGTCATGGCACTCAGCTCACAGACCTTCCCATAGAAGCCGGGAGGGCAGGTGCAAGAGTAGCTGTCCTCTAGATCCTGGACAAGAAGGACACAAGAGTCTTTCTCAAGCTGTTGCAAGAACCTACACACTTTACTTAAAACCAACAATCCCATCCGTTTTCAGGTAGCACAGCACAGTGCCCACTACTCACCGTGCAGCTCCCCCCATTCCTGCAGGGACTTGGAGCACACTCATCTACTTCCTGTTCACAGTTGGCACCTGTATACCCAGGTCGACAGGAACACGTGTAGCTCCCCTGGCCTGTGTTGGTGCAAGTGGCTCCATTCCTGCACGGCTTATGGTGAGTGCAGTAGTTTAGGTCTGCCGGGGTAGAGACAGGAAAGGAAAGGGGGCAGGAAAAGCCCACGATCAAACACAGGAAGAATCTACTTTTTAAGTAGATTCAGGCTGCTTTGAGAGAACCTGGCAATCACAGAGGGAGGGACTTACCCTGGTTGCAGAAAAGGCCCCCCCAGCCTTCCTGGCAGTTACACTGCCAGGGCTGCTGGCAGGTACCATGAAGACAGCCTGGGTATCGGATGCACTCATCACAGTAGCGGCCCTGCCAGCCAACTCTGCACCTTAGAAAAAGCAAAGCACAATCATGTTGCCTTCTAGATTCACAAGGGTATTCTCATACACCAATATCTCCAGCAGCAACAAGAAGTTACCAGTCCTCAAACTAGGCATCACTAGAACTAGCTGAAAACCCCTGAGCTGTTGTCCCCTCTCAGATGAAGGGCACGGTGGATATCCTGGTTTTCTTTAACATGCACAAGGACTATGGATATGAAATATCATTTCCCATGCAAACTTTTTAGCTGAGACCTGTATATTCTCATTAAGTATGAGCTTATACGTTTTCAGACCTTTATTAGAGCAACATCTCCCACTCAACTGACTCCCTGGGATGTTTTATATGGGGAGGGGGGAGCAAGAAGAAAAGGTGAACCAGGCAATGTGGCATGGAGATCCTGCAGTGAAGGGTTATGAGTTCAAGGCCAGCCTAGACTACATAGAAAGTTCTCTGGGGTACATAGAAAAATCTCATAGAAAAAAAGAAGAAGACGAAGAAGAAAAGAAGACACAAAGCTTTGCAAACTTACTTGCACTCCCCTGGCTTGTCACAAAATCCATGCTGGTCATCACAGCCTGGCAGACAGATTGCTGCAAGCAAATAAACACATAGGTTATAGCCCCACCCCAGGAATTCCCTGGTATCACCAGGTGGGACTGGGGCAAAATTAGCAGTACCTACTCTGTAGGTCCAGGCTGAGTGGATCCCAGGCTGCAGAGCCTGGCCCACCCTGGCTGGTGGCTTTGGACTTCATTCAAGCCTGGGGTGAGCATTCTTCTTAACATAGTGCTTCCAGGACAAAAGGGCTCTCAGAAGCCCCCACTCCTACCCCGTCCCTTTTTCTTCTAAAAGAGGGTCAGAAGTCTTCTCCCTCCTCCCTCCCCCACTTTCCAATTCTATGCACAAAGCTCCACCTCTTAATATCCCAGAAAGTGTGTGTGCAGATAAGAGTGGACAGCTGGTGTGCAGCGTGCAGGGCAGGACAGCTGCTCCATTGTCTCTTCCCTCACGCAGCTGCCCCAGCACAACAATGCTGCCCCCACCCAACCCCCAGCCCGAGCATGTGTGTGTGCACTCACACAAGTGCGTGTGAGCACATACCCCTCTACCAATGGGAATGGGCAGAGTCCCCACCGCCTATCCTTGGGGAGATCTAATCTATGGCACGTGTAAGCAGGGGCGGGGAGAGACCCCAGTGTTTGAATAAGAAGAAAAGTTTAGATTTCTGACTACCCCAGAACCATTGGCCCCTAGAGAGGAAAGCTGCAGTGGGAGGCCAGAGAAGCCCGAAGGGGTGGGGGGTGGCCACAGGCTGAGGTTTTGAGCTGGCTCATTTCCCCAGTTATGAAACTCATTAATGGTCAGCAACTCCAGTTCTTAAGAAAACAGCCAGCTCTGGCCAAGGCGGGGCATCAAAGGCACGCCAAAGCCCTTAAGGATATGGGAAGCTAGGCAACAATGGCATCCAGGTTCTCACTGAAGTAAGGACCCCTTCATCCTCAGGCAAAAAATTAAAACTAGAAAGCTACTCCATATCCTCCTGCAGGCACTGACAGAGGTCCTGGGCCTCACCAAGTCCAATGTTCAGCGGCTCCAGGGCAAGAGAACAAAAGTTCACCAAGCCCTGACTGAAAGCAAAGGGCCATTCCTACAGGTGGGACAGATGAGGCCTCAGAGAGCTGGAGGGGGGTCCACTGAGGTCCCTATGAACCAGAACCAAGCCGGAGTCCTCCCTGTGACCCTCGTCCCCTGGTTTGCAAGAGCATTGCAAGACATCAGTTACTACATTTCTTTACAGACAGTGCGCTGTAAGCATTTAGACCACAGATCAGGTGCCTTCTACCATATGGCCCTGCAGTCTGCCTCGGCACGCCTGTGGACTTTCCACAGCTCAAAGGATTGAAGACTTCCCTACAGGACAGGACACAGAGTATATCCCAGGGAATCTTTGGAAATGGATTACTCTGTGGGCAGGTCAGGCATCCTAACTCCATGAAGGAAAGGGAGGGCTTCCCAAAGAGACATTGTCACTGCAAGAACTGTTGGACTATGAGCCCTCCACATCCCTTCTCTGTCCCTCCCTTCCTTCCTCCCTTCCCTTTCTAATACAAAGGCCCTAGGGAGAGCACAGTCTTACTTCCTGACCCCTGGCCTTGTCTCTGAACTCCTCCCTGTAAAGAGAAGCAGCTTCCTACAGTGGATACAAGGTCTCTCTTGTTAAAATGCCCGAGTAGGGCATAACTGCCACCAACCATAAAACAAGACACTTCTGCTCCTTAGGCCTCAGTTTCCCCCACTGAGCCATCTCTACCATCGCCTGTGTCTCTTCCCATAAGTGGACCCTTGGAGTCATCCTCCCGCGGACTCACGTTCAGTGCAGTACTGGCCTTTCCAGCCAGGGTCGCACACCTTCTCCCCTCTCTCCCCACAGGTGAAGTGGCCGAAGGCATCATCCCGGGGTCGGCAGAACACGGAGCAGCCTTCACCGTAGTAGTGTTCATCGCAGACAAACCGGTAAGAGTACCGGAGGTCTGTGCGGCCGCTACTGTTAAGGTCCTGTGACCACTCCTTTCCCACGGTCAGGTGCCTCTGCGTGGTCAGGCGGCTGATGAGTCTCTCTGGATTTTCTGGGAGAAAAGATGCGCAGGTTGGTTCTGATAACACTCAGAGGCCAGGAAGTGAGGGAGTGGCCGGGATGCTGTCACCATGGGTTGGACTCTGAACTCCTCCAGGTGCACAGTGAAGACATCGGAGGATTTGGGTGAGTGGGTAAAATAAAATGTGTATCAGGAAGGAGTTTGCACTGTGTACAAGTTTGGAGTCTTACCTGTTGCGAGGTCATCCGGAGAATCTGTGTGGAGAGCTTCAATGATCAGAGAGAAGGTACCCTGGGGAAAAGGGAGAGGGTGAATGATAAACCGGAAGCATAGAGGAGGAGGAAGAAGAGGAGGAGGAGGAAGGGCATTAAGGGCTAACAAGTCCAGAGTCAGATCTATGTATGGTGCCAGTGAAGGTCAACTCCTATCGCTTTCCTTCAGAAAGCAGAATGATTTCAGAGCGGTTTTCCCGTGTGTGCTTTTTAAAATATGTTAATACAGGAGGTTGTGTTTGTTTTCAAAGGGAGAGAGTTCTGGAGCCAACAAGGTTCGGGATGTGGAAGAAGAGAGGGCCTCTGTGTCTGTCATTAGTTTTCTGGTGTAGAGCAGTCCCTGCTCTAGCAATGGCACAGTCAGAGGCCTAGCAGCTGGAGGAACAACAACTCTCCCAATCTTGGGAGAGGGGAGGAGCATTCGGCCCCCCAGATAAGTACCGAGGTGTATAAGAAACGCCCTGAGCTTGCAAAGGCTTCTGGTGCTCCACAAGCCTTCCTTAACCTCCAGAGACTGCACGCCAATTCCCGGGAAGAAATCAAGACCACAGGCGTGTCTTTGTGGAATTATCCAACCCTTATCAGTGGCCAATGCCTTCCTCCCTCTGCCAGCCACCCGCCCACCACCCCTACCCCTCCAGGCCCAGTCGGGTGCGCGCAGGTGCCCACTCACTGGCCAGGTGAAGCCGAAGGGGAAACGGATGGGGTTGCTGAAGGCAGGGTCGATGCCTGCGCCATCAGGCAGGCTGAAGGAGTCGACACCCAACACTGGCGTGACTGCGCTGCCGTAGGTGCAGGGTGGCTCCGGGGACACGCTGGCCTGATAGTGCTTGAGGCATACGCGGAAGAAGGTCCTGCAGGCGCACGGCGGGCCTGAACCCCCGCGGCAGCAGTTGCGGTTCCCCAGCAGCCCCTTCTTGTTGACGAACTCCTGCAGCTTCAGCTCAAATACGCCGGAGCTCCAGACCTGCGCAGGGAAGGGGCGTGAGGACGCACTGGCGGCGGAGGGGCCCGGGCGCGCGGGCCCTTGCTAGGACGCAGAGGCCGAGCGCACCGCAGCGCCCGTCCGGAGCCGCCCGCTGCCAGGCAGCTCTCGGGGTCGTAGCTGCCGGAGTCGCTTGGGGATGGACAGCTGATCAGCTTGTCCGGCTCCCCTCCCTCCACCGCGCAGCAGCCCCGCCCGGCCCCCTACCTGGCACAGCAGGGCCGAGACCACGGCAAGGGCTAGCGCGCTCCGACGGCCCATGGTACCGCTGGACGCCTTTGCTCTCCTACAGTATCCTCTGTTCTCTCCTCTTCAAAGACCCAGGAATGCCAGGAAAGTCTATGTGACCCGAGGAGCACGGGCTTGGAAAGACGTCTCTCGGCTCCAGGTGTGATAATCAGGGCCAGTTGCTTAAGGAGGGTGCGGTGCTTCAGATATGTCCCTGACAGAGCTCTGCGAGGCACTGAGAAAGGACAACTTTCGGTTTCCTCTTCTGGCTTTCAGTCCACGAGTAGGTGAGGGTCGCTGGCTTTCTGGTTTTGTCTTCAGCTTCTTCGCGGAGGGAAAGAGGAGAAAGGAGAGAAGACACAGAGGAAAGAGAGTCCAGATGTTCGGCTTAATTCCCAAGAGAGCTTGCAGCGGCTTCCTTCGGAGGCCTATTAGAGAGCGGCGGTCTGGAAATCCCACCGGTGAGGCGATAATCCGGGGCCCCGAGGGGCGCGGTGGGAACGGACGGCGGTGGTGGCAAGAACTGCGGCTCGCGCCCTGGTTTCCCTCCCCGCCGGGCGTCACTCGGCGGCCGCTGCCGCTCCCAGAGTGTTCTGGACCGGTATCTCTTGCGCCACTGCAAAGCCTCGCGTCTTCCCCAAGAATTCAACCAATGCCATGCGAGAACACACACCCAGGACCGGAGACCGAAGCGTGGGAGGCTCCGTGCCGCACCGGTGCTCTCCCGTGACCTGCCTCGGTCAGACAGGGTAACCGCGGGTGCACGCCGGAGGATCTGGCCGAGGCAGGCGCCTGCCGCCCTTAAATCCTGCCGGTCGCTCGCATAACTAATGAGATGCAAATGAGCAGCCCCCCAATCTGGCGAGAGCTGTCACAAAGGAGCCACTTTTCCAAACCCTCCTCTCAATGGATCGCCAAATGGTCAGTGAGCTGTAAAATGTGCAACCCTCCTCCCCGCCCCCACCTCCCCGCCCCCTAGTCCTCTCTGCCTCCGCCCTCGCCCCTTCGCCTCCCTCCCCCAGCGCAAAACCCGCTCATTTACATTCCTGCAAAATGTTCGCTGCGACGAACCGCTTCTGCTCCCGGAGCTGGAGCTGACGCCGTGTCTCCCACCGCCCCACCGCCACAGGCCCGAAGACCCTAGGCACGCTGGCCGGCCTGCGCTTCCCACCCGCGGTCACCGCTAGCCTCGCGCGCAGGACGCGGCCTCCGGACACTCACGTCTCCAACGCTGGCCGCCTAGGCTCTTCTCGGTTGTTCGGTCCTGGGGACTGAGGAACCGAGGAGAGGTTAGAGGCCCGCGTCCCCGACGCTGCCCCTCCTCCCTGGCAGGCTCTTTCAAAGGAGGAGTCTCCCGGAGGGGGCGGGGGCGGGGACCCGTTAGGAAAGGGACCCTTGAAGAAGAGGTGGGCAAAGGGTGGCGAGAGCACCGCGGCGGTTTCGGGAAGTTTGGGGAGGTTAGGCACGCTTATACCTCTGGTGGAGGATGGCGGCTGAACCTCGGAGAGGGAGAGCGCCGATAGACTCGCGATCCCGGCGGGGCGCCCCCAGAGACTGCAGTGTCCGGGAGCCCCGGTATCTCCGTGTTGTCTGCGATCGCTGGAAACGGGAATCCGGGTCCGGGCGGCGTATTCCCTGAGCCAGGAGAGCCAAAAGCTTCAGCTTATCCCCTCCCCAATGTACACGCCCTCTCCCGGGAGATTTTCGACCGCCACCACCTTCACTGGTGTCCGGTCCCACTCTCCTGGGTAATTCCCCTCAGGCCTCTCTCTGCTTGGTAAAAAGTGAGTTTGGTGTGTGTCGTTCGCGTGGCTGTCATTAAGGCAGTCTGTTATTGTGCGAGCCTGAATCAGTGGCTCTTTGTGCGTTCAGCTGTATGGTAATGCAGACAGCACCTGCTCTCCGCACAATGAGGAGAGAAAGAGCTCCCCTCCGCGCACGCCGCGGCCTCTGCGACAATGTCCGGCACATGTTCGAAAGACTCCCCCCCTCCACCCCCAACACACAACCTTTACACAACCGTCACCTTATTAGGTTTTTACACATCCATCAGACACTAGAACTTTTCTTTTCTTTCTTTTTTTTTTAAGGGAAATGAGTTTATTGGGAGGGCCCAGGACACGTATCACAAAGAGTTATCTGACCTGCTCCCCTGCTTACAGACTTCAGAGAAAAGTAAGCGGAGCTGTAGGCTCCGACTTAGTACCTAGCTTTGTGTTGAGCAGGCAATGAGCTGCGTATTCCCATCTCTGGAGGGTCCTTCTTATTCCACCCCCAACACCTTGGCAGCCTCATTAAGAATCCCAAGGTGTGATTACTGGAACTAGTGTTGCTTTGATTGTAGATCAACCCCTGGGGTGTGCCTGACAGGTGTCCTCACGGTAGGTGTTGTCCTGGTGGTGAGAATGAACTCTGTGACCTGACAGACGACCTAACAGAGTATTTTTATCCTTTAGACCTACGGTATCTGGTTCAAGACGCTTATACTGCACAGAAAGAGAAAACTCTGCCCCCCCCCCACACACACACACCAGGAAAACACTGGTAACAATCTAAAGCAGTTGCCTGGCAAAATCATCTGTGTTGGGCCATCTGGCAACTGGAATTACAGCTCCTTTTTTGATGACCCAGTCTGTCTCCTGCTATCCTGTCTCCCAAACACTTGCAAAGTTTCAGAATCAACAGGAATCTGCACTTCAAGTTGTCATTGCTGACTCATAGACAATCAAAGAGTTAGCCAAAAAACACGTGTTCAGTGCCCAAGGCTGAGGTGCGAAAAGCAGGGTTGGACCTCACTTTAAAAAAACAAAACACCAACTGTTTATTATAGAACAAATGGAAGCTTCAAAAGATACTGCCACCCCTACCACGGCAGTGGCAAAAGCAGAGTCCCTGTCATTTGTAAACTGTGTAGGGACTTGCTTCATCGCCACAAGGCTGGGCTAGCTTGAACCCTAACTTAATCTTGCCACCTAGTGTTGGGATCCCTTTTTCACTAGGCTGATACTTCCTCTGAAAGTTACTTTCTGAGAACTCTGCTTCTCAGAGCTGAGAAGCTGCTCCCTGTGGGGGCTGGGGAGAGGGACTCAGGTGAGAGGGTTCCTGCCTGCCGCAGAGGAGTCAGAGACACAAGGTCAAATGCACAGCTCTCTGTGCCTTCAAGATTACAAGAAGACATGAAATATCAGGAACCTTTTAATTAGAAAATGGGAACCAGGGTCATTTGAATGCCTGTTTAGAAAACTGGAAATGAAAAGTTGCACACGCAAGGGCTTAGACCTTGGGCGGGGGGGGGGGGACTTGTCTCAAACCTTTAACAAACCCCCCTCGGTATCAAGTATTTGTTAAATTGACATGGCACAGATTTCTCGATTACATCGGCAAAGCAGGACTGAAAGGCATGGTAAAATCCATCAGAACCCTGCCCAGAGCATTCATTCTTTCCCAACTTAATTTATGCCACGCCATTCTGTATTGGGGAAATCAAGCAGAAAGCTCTTTTTTCCCCTCCCTCCTACTCCTTCTGCTCTTCTTCTTCTTCCTCTTCCTCATCCTCTCGGCCTTCCACCCCTAAGTTGGTTCCTATTCCTCTCTCTTTCAAAAGCAGGGCTAACGGGAGACTGTTTAACTTCGGCGTTTCTATAGGAGCCTGTTGTAGTTTAACTCCTGCGTACCAGTAGCTGGGAGGAACAAAGGGGAAACTCGAGGTCCAACTATTCACCCTTTCTAAGCACTTTAATTTTCATTGATTGGGAAGACAAGGGGAGCCCTCAGGGATTCGAGCTGGGGGGGGGGATGACACGCCTTTAGACGCCATCAGCCCCCTAGCCAGCCATCTGCTCTGAACCAAATGGCGTTTTTTCACTCCCTAACTGCGTGTCTCTATACTCCCACAGCTAAGCACTCAGAACCCCCCAAATGCAGGAGGGAGCTTAAGCCAGAGTATGTTAAATAGATTTGCCTGAATGTTGGCCTAGCCAACAGATCTCCCCTCCCCACACACCATAAATCCTCACCTTGACCATTAGAAGAAAGAAGGAAACTTACTTTTAAATGCTTTTTGATGTTTCAGCAAATTTACTGTACAAAGTGGGGCTCATTAGAACTGAGAAGACACCGAATACATCAGATACAGGACCTGAAGGAAGCATTTGTTGTCTGGTGGTAGTGTTGATTTTTTCCACCCCAGCCCTCCTCCCTCCCCCCCCATCTGATATGGCAGACTCAGGTTGCATAATAATCAGACTTAAGGCCACAACAAATGTATCTGGAGTTCTGTCTGCAATTGATCCTGATTTCTATATTTTACTGGACCGTGTGGTAATAAAAACTCCCAGCCTTAATCTTATTGAATTAAATGTGCCCATCCTCAGAACAGGTCGCTCAGCTCTGATCCACTCCTTCAGGCACACACAACCAAAAGGCTCAGTTTTCAAAGTATGGGTATAATAGTGACTGCAGACAGGGCAGTACCCATGAACAACTCCCAAACAGTTTTCAGACTAGGCCAGCACAGGTTCGGTTTTCTGTGTAAACAAATCTGGAGACTTGAGTGGGGCTTGTGTTTTCTCAGACCAACTGAACATTGTATACACAACAGAGGGTTCTCTTATTCCTAAGAATTAGGATCCTTGTTCGGAGCAACAAAACTGAAACTTCCAAGCAGCAAATCTGGTGTTGATCAAACATGCCAGCTTGCTTGAGATGAGGAAGAGGAGGAGGAGGAGCCTGTGTATTAATTAGTGCCAGCATCACATCCTGCCCAACAACCCTTTTGCCCATTTCCCTCAGCCAGTTCTGGAATCAAACGCAGTTAAAATATTAGGGGGAAAAAAACCCTCCTTGCAGAGAGATGGAAAGCCACCAGGGAACTGTGACCCACCTGCCTGGTATGATTATGATAGTTATTTGCCAAAGTCTGTGGCAGAACCTTCCTTTTAAGTCTCGCTACGGTGCCAGGGCTGGCCTGAAACTCGAGATTCTCCTGCCTCAACCTCCCGAATTCTGGATTACAAGCACGCCAAATGTAATTCTGGCGCGCACACACTTTAATGTTTGTACAGACGTGTGCACACTCTGATTGCAGTTAGCATTTGGCTCCCCTTTATACGAGAATTGGCGCCTCAGATTCACCTCACGGGCACCAGGTGGGCCCAATGGCCCTGGCCTCGCCTATGCTCTGTTG